AAGTGGATTAGCCTACACAAAAATAACAAGCTATGGCATGATTATGAACATGAAAATACTTTGTACTGTAAAAAGTGCCAAACAACAGAGTTAGCATTTTTCCTATGATCTTTATAGCATACAATCACTGTACAAAAATTATCACATGCATGTTTTATACAAAGTTTGCTCTCTAGCTAAAATAACAAAAATCAGCCATTAAAGGCACTTGAGCTACACCTCATAATTTTTCTATAGTACATGCATGACACATATTTTTCCTAGAAAGTACATTACATATGAAGATTAACAAACTTGGAATCATATTTTTCTGAAGCCTATAGGTTTTTCTACATATTTTTCACGTTATCAGCAATATCCATGATTAAATAAAGTTCTACAGAGAAGTATCCCAAAAATGACATGCAATAATTTTTCCAAGTAGATCTGATGATAAGGAACCTAGAAAAATTTATTTCAACAGATTTGGAGCAAATTTGAGTATCCAAACATTTTCCAAACCATTTCTATTTTCAAATAATAAAGAAAAATTGAAAACGAATCCTCCTATTGCTACTGAGCCGGCCCGCGGGAATCAGCCGGCCCACTGCCACACTTGCCCTGCACGGCCCGAGCGAAGGGAAGGGGAGGCGGCCTGGCCGGGCGTCGGCCCATGGCCTCTCGGCCCAGCTCGGCCGAGGCGAAGGCCACGCCGGCGCCGTGACGTAGCGGCGGCGCGGCTCGGCCAACGGGGCCGGCGACCATTACCGCCCGTGCCAGGGCAAGCGAGCGAGTGCATGCGGTTCGCGAGAAGCTGACGAATGCGGGTAGGTAGCTAGGCAGGGTGGAGAAGAGGAGGAAGGGTGCCTTCCACGACGGCCGAGCACGGCGGCGCCATGGCCGACGGTGGCGAGGCGCTAGAAGGCGCTACCTGGGCTCAACAGTCGGCACAAGCGCGAGCACCATGTGCTGGAGAGCGAGGCGGAGCTATTGGCGCACGATTGCTGGCCGAGGTGGAGGAGAGGCGGCGAATTTGACCGGCGGGTGCGGTGGCGCGGCGAGGGGGAGAGTGAGCGAGCTCGTCGCGGGCGGAGAAGAAAGGCAGCGCGGGAGAATGAAGGCGAGCGCAGCGGCTCCAGTAGAAGTAGGTGGGCGCGTGGGAGCGGGCTTGCTCTGCCATGGTCGGGACGCGGCGCGGCGCGTCAGTGGGCGGGCTTGCTCTGCCATGGTCGGGACGTGGCGCGGCGCGTCAGTGGGCGAACGAGCGCGGAGGCAGGCCAGGCGCGGCGCTGGGCTAGGCCAAGGCGAGGTGCGCGGCGCTGGCGCGGGAGGCTCGCTGCTGCAGGTCGGGCCGGCTTCGGCCGTGGGCCGGAAACGAGGCGGCGGCCCACGAAATGAAGGAAGCCTTTTTCAATTTATATTTTTAAGAAATTTTTAAATGCCAGCTTTCAAAAATTATTTTGAGCAAGAAAATGACATCTTTTGAAAATGTACCAAAAATGAAAATTGATTAGAATGTAATTTTCTACAACTTTGCTTTTATGACCAAAGCCAAATTCTTGATAGATTTTGAATTCTAAAATTAAAGTAAATCTTAACTCAAAACCCTAATTTTGGAGAATTATTTTTAAAAGCAAAATTTGGCAATAATTCAAATACAAACCTTGCTCCAAAAATTGTGCTAAACAGTTCTAGATGATTTACCATGATAGCCAAACATGTTTTACTAGCCTAGCAAACATAATCAGGGCAAAATAACTCTTAAACAGGTGTATGCAACATTGACGTTTCACGAACATGTTTCATATGTTTCGAAGCAGTGTTTCAGTTATTATTTTCATGATTGGGCATGTATGATTAGGATGCTTGATGATGCACGATATGCATGATTTGCAGTGCCTAAATGCTGGCATAACACTGGGGTGTTACACAAAGTTAGGGTGCAAAACTTTTATCCAATAGGCATATAACACTTTTAGGCACAAGGGTGAATTTGGCTAAGCAATAGGTTTAATTTTTGCAAAAAAATTATTAGCCTAATTCAATCCTCCTTTTGGGCATCTTGATCCTTTCAGATGCACTGTGAAGTTGGTGACACCGCAAGTTGGTGTTGTTCTATAGTCTGAATACAACTTCCAAAACATGTTTGATTTGATGTCTTTTTTTCCTTGGGCCAAAAGGGACGTGGTGCCCTAGTGGAGGATGTTGGGAATACTTGGACTTGTTCCCAAACAACTTCATTATTAACCGTTCATGATCCCAATATGCAATCAACTCTTCTATTGATCCATGTAAATACTTCTAAAAGTGGAAGAGTACACACTTTATGGTGCAACATCAATTCATCAAATCTATCAAAGGTAAACCTAATATAGAATAATGGTTGTACCTTTGGTTCATAAGCGGTGAATATGATCATATCCGAGCCGATGATGTCCTCACCAAATATGCTCCATTGAGTCATCTTCATCGGAGTTGTATAAATGAAGGTCCCACAATATTTAGCATTCCATTGTGTGATTAGGCGTGCATATATACATATGACCACACGTTCTTACATTTGAGTTAGGCTCAATGATTTCTAAGATTGTGTTTGATTTTGAGGATGAGGGAGGACGTGATTGGACGGTCCTCTTTTCGGTGGTGTTTTGTTGGAGAGTGGGAGGCACAAGGTCATTCTCGAGAGGGAATATTCCTGAAAATTTAGGACAATGCGATCCCATGAAAAGAAGCAGAAGAGTTTGTCCCTTGTTCACATTGTCACGTGTTGTCTCCTCTCCACACGTCGAGCTATGGGTAGCACTGGTATGGGTGAGCTCTGACACGGCCACATTGATCACTGACATGACCACATCAACCTCTGGCATGGACGAGCCGACCTTGTGAACGTTTGAGCACTCCCTCCATCAGTGCGAGCCCCTATGGCCTCGTGCCCGTCCTCACCGCACCTACACCGGCCATCGCTCTGAGCGTCCACATATGCTCTTCTCGTGAGTGCTCGTGGCCACTCTGATGTTGGCCTCACCTCTAGCCCCCCCCCCGCCCCAGCTGGTGGATGTGTTGTGAATCTGTTGTTCCATGGGAAAGAATGAGGAAGAAGGTGAACGAGACAGACATTCGAGCCCCACCTTGACGGTTGCTAATGGATAAAAATAGCCAACCATTCCCTCCGCGACCTCTCCATCCTTCCCACCAAACATAAAATAGGGATGACCCTATCCCCTCAATCAAACAATAAAATGAAAATCATCCTATTCCTGACAATTGGGAGGGACTCGTTCCATCCCATCTTGTCTATTAACCAAATGCAACATTAGATTCCAACCCATATATATTAATGTGGGCTGGTATTGAAGTACTCCCTCTATTTAAAAAAATGCATCGTAGGATTTGTAGCACAAAGTAATGATCAAGCAAAATTACTTAATTATATAACTCTCGAGACTACTAGTGGACAGAGATAAAAGTACTGAATAGTAAGAATATAGTGGACAGAGATAAAAGTACTGAATAGTAAGAATATAGTGTTAAACAGTGCCATAATGTTTTTCTTTGTCAGACAAATTTTGAATCGGATGGAGTAATCATGAAAGAAGGAACAAAACATTCAAGTTAAGCGTTTGTATATAGCAGTGACAAGATGGGTGCGTGGTTTGACGGAACAATAGATCCGAATATGACTGGTAGCAGCAGGTAGGAAGCTAAGTGCGCACGATCGACGACGAACGACGATGATGGTGACATGTAATGTGACTGATGAGATGTGATGTAATGCGTGAAATGAGTGAGTTGAAGTCGTAAGGATCAACAGGTAGGGTAGCTAGGATGGAAGGGATAGATGATCATGCACATATGTAAAAGTGGTGATAGATTTGATTAGATGGATCGAGGGAAGAAAAGATTGGACGATATCCCCAGCTAGGCCGGTAGCCGCATATATATCCTCTTTCCTGCTTTAGCTTTACCACTCCACTCCACATAGGATCATCGAGGGATCAGACTGCATGCGTGCGCACAATTCATTGCGCCTTGAAATCGGTTGCGCCGGCCAGCCCGGCCGGCCGGCTTCGCCTGATCAGTCGATCCATTCATCGGCGGCAGATCGAGTGCGCACACTAATCAATCAATTACTTCAGAAATCTGATGATGATGATGATGCAACTAGCTACGTACTACTCCTAGAAACATGCATACAGTAGAGTAGATGACTAGATAGAGACCGATAGACAGCCAGCGATTGCTGCGCAGGTCTACATCCATTTCATTCTTCAATGAATAGCGTCGTCGTCTCGTTTTCTTTCCGCATCGATGGGATGGTGGACGCGACCAAAGAGATCCAATTGAGAACGAGTGGGCTCATCGCACCATTAGCTGGCTAAACTTTCTGCTTTCGCTGCTGGCGGGCTGCGGTTGCACCGACGGAGGATGACGACATAGAAGAAGAACGAGACTGACTGACAGATGATGAGCTGCTGAGCTGAAACTTTTTTTTTCTTTTTTTGACGAGTAGTTGCTTTTTTTGAGCGGGTGGTCCGCGTCGACTGATTCATGCGTCCAGCCCATCTTTCGCCCAGCAGGCTCGATGAGCCGGCTCACATAAAGAGGAACAAGTGAAGGGCGTCAGAGCCCAGACTTCTTTGGAGCCCAGCCCATGTATACCAAGGGCCTATTTAGTTCCAAAAAAAATTTCACCCTAAAGTGTCACATCAAATTTTATGACATATGTATAGAATACTAAATATGGATGAAAAAAAACTAATTGCACAGTTAAGTGAGAAATTATGAGACGAAACTTTCGAACCTAATTAATCTATAATTAGACACTAATTACCAAATACAAACGAAAGTGCTACGGTAGCCTAACAAAAAAAATTTGGAACTAAACGCGCGATAATAGGCAGGCCGCCCGTGACGAGCCGAGCCGGACGGACGGAATAGCGAAGGCAGACAGGAGCCACCAGTTTCCACCGCACCCGTCTTCGCTCCGGTCCGGCGAGTGAGTCGTCGTGCCGCCGGTATCCATGGCGGCGGTGGTGCGCGGCGTCTTGAGGGGCATCAAGGAGAAGGGACTCACCAACTTCATCCGCGACGTCCGCGACGAAGGATACTTGTAACCCCTCCACCCCCCGTCAATATCTTCTCCCTGCGCAGATCAGATGGCCCCCATTTCGATTACGATCTCGATCCAGATCTCTCCTCTCTTCCCTTGCTTTATATTATAGATAGATTCCTCACCGCTAGTATTTTTTGTTTGTTGCGGATGTGACGGACTAGTTTCCAACTTTTAATTTGTTTCGATTTGGCTATTCCTGCGGTGTGCGCTTTAGCCTCTGGGACGGGGAAAATTACAAGTAGGGTTCCTCTGCACATACCTTTGAATCTCTATTTGGTCCACGATAGTGTCTAGGATAAGTCTTAGCTCACACAACACCACAATCACTCATGCTGCATAACACAACAATCCTTATGTAGCATATGCAAGCGTGGATTCGTTTTATACCAGGTATACATCAACTAAAATGTCCGTTTGCTCGTGTGCAACATACAACATACACTGCTTTCTTGCCACTGCTTGTTAGATCGATCCATTCCACACCCACTTGTATATACCTTTCCTGCATTATACTACATGTCTCGAATTATTATATGATGAAGTAAGCCCAAGACTATATGAACTAGGCATGTAGCCTTGTATATTATAGAACAACTTTTTTAGACTGTCGGTAAACCTAGCGTCATGGTTCATAGCAATTCCTTCCTGGTGTTCATGCTGTTCATGCATTCTTTTTTCTTGTCTTCTGCCGTATACTACCTTAGTACCACATACGTGTTCAGTCAGATCAAGCTGCTTGGCTAGACACTGCAAATTATTATGGTATATTAATAGTGAAAACAACATAATCTGCTACTCCGTGTGCCAACAATTAGTGTAATCAATCTTGATGGGCTATACTCACTTCACAACAATGATTACTTACAGATTTCCACTTTCACCTGGAGAACTTCAAAACGCCACAGTATGGCCACCAATTTCAGTATTTAACTGTTTACAGTAGCCATGAATGTTTGGCTGTCTTGTATCTATGATCCTTTACTTTTCTGCAATGGACTGTCACCATGTAAATTGTCTGTCACATGTTTCTATTTCCAGGAATTGTTTTTTTGTATATGAGTTCTCCGGTTTGGAGACATAGCTAATGTAAACGTATTGTTGCCATATTCTAACATCTTGTTATTTACAGCAAATGCCTTCTGGATGGGAACCTTTTGTAAGTGGCCACCTACCTGTCCTCCATTTCCATGGAATGGGTGTGGTTACGTGTCTCAGCTGTCAGCACAGCTAATCTTTCTTTTTTTTTCAGGCAAACGAAAATTCACAATATTGGCGCAACACTAGTAGGAGTTGACAAGTTTGGAAACAAATACTATGAGAAATTACATGACACTCAGTATGGTGAGTAAACTCTGTTCTGCTAGTTGATGTGCCATGGTTGTTTTTATTGTGAAATTATTATGTGATTCGAATTTAGATCATGAAAGCAGTAGACTGTCATTGGCAATTTCACCTCTTTTTTTTCTTCTCGATTCTCAAACCTATTAGATAAATACCTTAGCTGTTATTACTTTGGGCTTCACTTCACTGATATGCATGTATTTGTAGGAGCAAAATGTCTCTTGCATTGCTGGTCATTCCCCCTTGATAGTACACTAGAACACTAAGCATGGTAAATTTTGCAGGGAGGCATAGATGGGTAGAATATGCAGAGAAAGGTCGTTACAATGCATCCCAAGTGCCTCCTGAATGGCATGGATGGCTGCACCACATCACCGATAGCACTGGGGATAAGGCAAGTTTCCCTCCATGTTATTTGCTTTAATTCCTGAATAGTGTTCATGCTTCAGTCTTCTGACGTGCTTGCAACGGTGCTTGATGCCTTGTTTCTTTGCCTTGATTATGTGAAGTGACTTTACAATTGAGCACCAGTATTGATGATTTGGGATTTTGTTTAATATAGATGAATAAAATTTGGTTTCTCGGAAACACTTCATGTTTTTTTATGTCACCCACATTTTTGGGCTATTTGCCTGAGGGGATGTGGGTGTCTATTTCATTTGCTGCTAGGAGCTTCAAGGCGATATCTTAATTAGTATCTGGAAGTCAAAATTGGTTAAGCTGATTTGGTGTCTTTTTTATTTTCCCTGTGTACCTGTGTTGCAGCTGCTGAACCAGAAGACTGCTAGGTACCTTGTAGAGCACAAGCAGAACTACTCCGGTGAGGGTGAAGAGCTGATCTACCACTCCAAGGGGCATGCTTTGAATCCGGGGCAAAGGGACTGGACGAGGTATCAGCCCTGGGAGCCAAAGAAAGGGCAAGCCTAGCTCCTGAGTACATTGTGGGGAAGCTGCTGAAATGTTTGTGTTTTCTTGCATTGGGTCAGGTATCACCGAGCTGAATAGCCTCTGGGTTATTGCTTGGACTGGGCCCAAATAATGTTGTTCTGAATACCAATACTGTATAATTCGATCATCTTTTGACATTGAAATGTTGTTACTGCTGTAAAAGCAGCTTTGGGGAATATCTCTGAAATTGTACGAGAGAATAACAGGTCTGGTTGGGGGAGCTGTCTACCCAGCTGTTGGGTGGTGTTTGGACACCTCACACTAGAATTTCATGACCATGGATGAAGATCCAACGCTCTACGGCTTTGTTGTCCATCTCTTTATTCGTACCATGAACCATTTCTCCGGTTTCTACCTCCGACAACCATCTTCAAAGCTTTTTGGGCTTCATGTCAATCCACTCCTATCTATATGATTTGGGAGGTATTTGGGTCGATATTAGTTATTTTTTTCACACAAATATCTCACAACTCATGTGGATTGATGTGCTGCTAAACAAACTATCATTGCCTCTACCCCCATCATCGCACCAACCTGATTTTGTGGCGGCATCACCTTGATGCTTCTGTCCCGCTCTTTTAGCAGCTGGAGGCCATTGTTCCCAATTCGGAAATATTTACGTTCCCATATTATAAATTATCAGCTTATGTTATTGTTCCCGCTCCATGTTTCGGTTTCTGTTCCCGTTCCATATTCCTATTCCCTTCTAGGAACCTGACTATTGAGGTCTTGCATGCCTACCTCATCTTTGTCGAGGTATCACTGTGACATTAAAACCCTTACCCATCCAACCATCGCTATGATGCTCTCACCCCTGCCCATCCAACCATCTTTCTCCTCTTTCCAATGTCATTGCCACCTTGTTTTTCCCACACTGATCACCGCCCTCCGTCGGTCTAACCTTTTGTCCTACATCTTTTTTTTATGTCCATCAGAATCCTCGCCCGAGACCCAAAACCTCTACCCCTAGCCTTGTCATAGGTGTTGTCAAGGTTGGAAGAGACAACCTTGCTGCTCAAAATGGGCAGATCAAAGGTTGATTTGGGCATAAATCAGGCGGAAGAGGAATTGAGTATTGGGTGTCACCAAAACACTTGAATTCTCTTTTTTTTAGAAACACTTGAATTTTCTTCTAGATTTCTGGTTTCAACGGTCAGAGTGAAATACTAGTTGGACCGCCATGTGAAGAGAGTTGGAGATGAGAAGGTCATCATCACCAAGTCAACCGAACTTTTGGATCATCAATCCACCCCCCACTAATAACTCAACTTCTCCGTGTCATCAATCCACCTCCACACTAATCCAACTTTTGGGTCATCAATCCACCCCCATAATAACCTAGCATTGTTCGTCACCAAGTCAAAACCAACTTGTTCGGGTCATCAATCCACCCCACACTAACCTAGCTTTGCCCACTCTAAAACCCAACTTCTCCGGGCATCAATCCACCTCCACAAATAACCTAGCTTTGCCTGTCACCAAGTCAAACTCGATTTGTTCGGGTCATCATTCCACCCACACTAATCTAATTTTGTCCACTCTAACTTCAAATCACCAATATCCACGCCCACGCTAACCTAGCTTTGCCAGGGCATCAATCCAGCCCCCACCCCAACGCTAACCTAGCTCCGTCGAAGTATCACTATGACGCCCTCATCCTTGCTCTGTCAAGCCGTCTTCCTCTATTTCCCGATCGGCAACATCACTACTGCCTCGTCTCACCACTCCTTTCGCTTGCTATTAATGTCAGCCCGGTGTTTTGCACTATGTTTTACCATATTTTTTTCTAAGCTCATTAGAATCCTCACTAGAGACCCCGAACCACTAAAACTGACCTTGACAGAGCCGTTGCCGCGGTTGGAAGAGACAACCTTGTTACTTGAATCGGACGGATAAAGATGTTGATTTGAATACGAACCGTCCAATAGAGATATTGAGTTTTTTATGTTCCCAAAAAATGCTCGAATTCTCGTTAGGATTTCCGTTTTCTTATGATCGGAGTGAAATAATTGCCAGGCCGCAGAAGAGTTCAGACGCAGAATCAATCAATCTGCTCCTCCATTTGACTGACGGATTTGCTCGCCCAGCTGCAGAGCGGCCGGGAGGGCAACACCGAAGGCAGACGTGGCAGACGCAGCCCGCAGCTACCTACCTACCCACACACGCGACTCACGCACGCACACGCAGCCGCTCCTCAAACCGCAGGCGGACCCAGACGAGACGTACCAAGATCCTCCAGCAGGCCTTGACCGTGTACGCTCAACGCAACCGAACACGAAGCCCAGCTCCTGCTACAATGGCCTCCCTTCCTCCTCCTGCGGACAAGGTATGGATGGACGGGCACGCCCTCCCGCCTTGGGCTCCAGCAATTAACTAGTTCGATTATCGCTTTCGTTCTGTTTTAGCGTCTTCACCTTTCCATCTTCTTTCTACTGATCGATTCGTGTCCCCATCGTCCTCGATTGTGCTTGCTCCAGCAGGAGCAGAGCGAGCACGAGGAGATCCACGTTTCCTCCGGCGGCGTTCAGGCTTACACCGACGACGACGACTGCGAGAGCAAACGCCCTTTGCTGCTCAGGGCTCCCGCCTCCGCCGAGTGCTACTCCGTTTCCGCCGCCGTCTTCCCGTGAGTATAATAAGCACCCCTCTCCACTTCCATTCTTCTCTTGTACTCTACCTGCTACAGTACCTTTCACGATTCCTACCCTGCGCTCACCATCATTCAGCCTGTGTCCCAAATCTTGCTCTCGAAATTGTGCCTCGTCTCTCCATGGAATGGTTGGATTACAGCTTCCTCTCAAGCCTCTCGCCCAAAAGTCTCTGCTCTGCCTTTTACTGCACAAATTTCGTACAGTTTCAGCTCCTTCTTGGCATTTCACCAAACAGATTCAATGCCTGACAACCAACTTTCAGCCTTTTAGGCATCCGGAATGGTTGCCGTAGTTTTCATTAAAAAAAAAGAATAACTTTGTGCACTACACACATGTACAGTTACCTTACCAAAGTCCGCTGTCTGTTGAATCTGTTGCAGGTTTTTCTTTCCAGCTTTGGGAGGCCTTCTCTATGGCTATGACATTGGGGCAACATCCGGTGCAACCATATCACTCAAGGTATTACACTAGTGCTAATCTTGTTCCTGCTTGCTTCTAAAAAATGCCACATTAGGACTTGCACGTCAGTTCGGTCAATATTGCTAATTTGACTGTCTTCAAATCTATTTTGCAGTCATCGACATTCAGTGGTACTACTTGGTACAATTTGTCATCTGTGCAAACTGGCCTTGCGGTAATGCTTTACTCTGTATCAAAAACTATTTCAGCAAGGTTGGGTTCACTAACTGGTGTCCTGTTGCTGAATGATGTAATCACCCGATATGCCTGATGCAGGTCAGTGGCTCACTGTATGGTGCTATGATCGGCTCCGTCTTGGCATATACAATTGCAGACTTTTTAGGTCTATCACTGTAACCCCTGTTCTTTTTCCATGCTACTGCTGATCTATGGCGCAATTTAGTCTGGTCATCTCATTATTATTTATCCCAACTACCTTGCACAGGACGACGCAAAGAGCTTATCCTCGCTTCTATCTCATATTTGATTGGAGCCCTTCTGACAGCAGTAGCACCCAACTTCGCTATCATGGTGGTTGGCCGCTTTTTATTTGGTATAGGAATTGGATTGGTAATGGAATCTCTTGTCGTAGTTGACACTGCACATTGCCTAGCATATGACCACACACATTTCTTTATGTGGCCTTATGTTTTGTTTTGGGGGCAAAACAAAGATATGATGCTTATGTAAGCTGCTTTCATCAGGCTATGCATGCTGCTCCAATGTATATTGCAGAGACAGCACCGAGTCAGATAAGAGGCATGCTCATTTCTATAAAGGAGTTCTTTATTGTTCTTGGGATGCTTGTAAGTCTATACTATTTTTTTTCTTTATCACCCCTTCAGCAATCTTTCGGTCTTCTTATTTACTTGTATTTTTGCAGCTTGGTTATATAGCAGGAAATCTCTATGTTGAAGTGGTTTCTGGTTGGCGTTACATGTATGCCTCCAGCACACCATTATGTCTCATAATGGGAGTTGGAATGTGCTGGTTACCCTCATCACCTAGGTGGCTCCTGTTATGTGCCATACAAGGGAAGGGAAATCTGCCAGAGACAAAAGAAAATGCAACCCGGTGCTTATGTCGATTGAGGGGTCAAGCTTCACCTGATTTGGTCTCAGAGCAGATTGACTTGATTCTGGAGGAACTTTCATATATTGATCAAGAGAAGCAAGCTAGCTTCGGTGAGATCTTTCAAGGAAAATGTCTTAAAGCAATGATAATTGGATGTGGTTTGGTGTTCTTTCAGCAGGTGATCTCTGATATCTTTAATTTGGAATATATTCCTGTGTTTTTACTAACACAGGGCGTTCTTTTCTGAAAAATAAATATTATGGTATTTCATCTGATCCTGGCTTATGTGTATATGTAGGTCACTGGTCAACCTAGTGTGCTATACTATGCTGCTACGATCTTTCAGGTACTGACGTACTGTTGATTTCCTATATGGAGTTATCCAGTTCAAGCATGTTTGGGTATTATAGAAGCCCATTTGTGTTAGGACTTGCTGTGATTATCTCCAGAATAGGGGTCAGGGCCTCAAAACATTATCAATTTAACTTTCAGGGTGGAAATTATTGTCAGACTTGTCTGGGCAACTTGGATTAGTACTTTTTAGACCCCACATTATTCTCGTGAGTTCCTGTATCACTCATATCTATCATTTGTTTGCAAGCAGAGTGCTGGATTCTCTGGGGCATCTGATGCCACTCGTGTGTCAATTCTTCTTGGCTTACTGAAGGTACATGTGAATACTTTTGCATATGCTTTATTGAATTTAACCTGAGTATTTTGCTACTTTAATATGATTTTTTACGCCCTTGAAAAGGCCTTTTGCAATGCAATCTATAGTTACATTACAGAATTACATTTGAGAGGAAGCATATTGTTTTTTATTTCAGTCCAAACTGTCTTCCTTTGCAAGGTTCCATGCATTCTTACTCACTACTCAGTAATGATGTTATGGTTTCCATACTGCAGCTAATCATGACCGGAGTAGCAGTCCTTGTGGTTGACAGACTTGGCAGAAGACCATTACTTATTGGAGGTGTCAGTGGAATTGTAAGTCTGCCTCAAGTTGTTTAGCCTTTTAGCGGAATACAAATGTCTTGATGGGTTTTCCTATGGTTACTGATCACCTGTTGATTCTACATTGTGCAGACTGTTGCCTTATTTTTGTTGTCCTCCTACTACACTTTACTGAAAGATGCCTCGTATGTGGCTGTAATAGCACTTCTACTATATGTTGGTTGTTATCAGGTACTTTCCCCCTTGTGCACAATAGCCATCTTACCTTGTTTGAGAACTCCAACGAGGATTATTGTGACTTCTGTCAGCGGGGGCATTATTATTTCTGAAATAGGAGTAGAATGGATTGCCTTGCACCAAAGATTCAGTAGTTGGCTTCTGCCTCAAATCTGTGAGTTCATATGTGACAATCTATCTGACAAAGAGAACTTTCTCTGCAGCTCTCATTTGGTCCTATTGGCTGGCTTATGATCTCAGAGGTTTTCCCGCTTAGGCTGCGAGGGCGTGGACTAGGTGTTGCTGTTCTTGTGAATTTTGCGTCCAACGCTCTGGTCACCTTTGCTTTCTCTCCACTGGAGGTACGAGCCTACCCTGTCCTTCTGTTTTTCTCGCCAAAGAGCGTTGCTATGAATTCATGTCATGTGCAATATAAGTGATAACTGTGTGTATACATGGTGTCGTAGGATTTGATTGGAACGGGGGCGCTCTTCTCTGGATTCGGGGTGATTGCAGTGGCATCTCTTGTATTTATATTCTGGATCGTCCCTGAGACAAAAGGACTCACCCTGGAAGAGATTGAAGCGAGTCTGTAGTTGACTGATCCAGACGCCACGTTCTTTCGTCCTAGTTTCAGTGAACTGAAGGAACTGGTGCCCTTTTGTAGTCTGCTGTTGTAGTTAGCTTGTTCATATAAATATTCTACAAGCTGTTGTAGCAATAATCGCCCTGTTCGCTTGGGCTTGTTTGGCTGATAAGCCATGGCTGAAAGTACATTTGATTGATTTGGTGTGAGAGAAAAATACTATTCGTTGCTAAAAAAGTATGGCTTATAAGCCAAATAAGCCGAACAGGGTGAATACTGCTTTCTTTCCCGGTATAAACCGAGACGGTAGGTTGCTGCAAGCCCTGCAAGATTAATTGATGGGGCACTGCATTGGTACTGTAGACTGTAGAGCTAGCGCATTCAGCATTCAGCCATCTTGACAGTTGGTTGTAGAATGGGTTTACAACCTGTTTTTTTAGGCCTTTGCTTTTCAAAAGCTGGGCGTCCGTGGGCTGCTTGTAAAAAGCCAGCTTTGAAAGTTTAAAAAATGGCTTTTGAACAAATGAAATGCACAAGTAAAACGACATTCCACACAATCCAGAAAAAACTCCTCAAGACCTGTGAGCCGGCGAAAAACGTTCGAGGCCCGCAACTCGCTCTTCATAGTTTTAGCTCGGTTCGGTTTGGCTCGGCCTTTCAAAGGTGCAGGGTGGAGCCTCTTTTGTTTTCTTACGAGGAACCAGCTCGTCAGCTATTCGTTTGGATATTAAGGCCCCGTTTGCACAGCTTCACCGACATCATAAGCTGCTGTGAGCTGTTTTTTTTCTTTCTTTTTTGGAAATTCTAACGTGCGTCCAGTCGCGGGGTGTGTGGTGTGCGCAATGCGGGCCGGCTGACGCGTGCAGCCCACGCGACTCCGAGCGCTGCTCCCACGCAGCCTGCGTGTGGCGACAGCACCCCACTTCCTTTTTTATTTGAGTTTTCAATTTCTTTTTTATTTTGAGTGTTGTATTTTCAGTTTCTATTTTCAGGTTTTCATTTTTTAGTTTCATTTTTTTGTCAAGTTTTTTTTTAGTTTAAGTTTTCAGTCAAGTTTTTTTTTTATTTTTAGTTTCATTTTTCAGTCTTCCTTTTATGTTCGAATGCCTTGATAAATTCCGCATATTAGTTGCCTTACCCATAATGTTTTTTTTAGTTTCAGTTTTCAGTCAAGTTTTTTATTTATTTTTAGCTTCATTTTTAGGTCTTCGTTTTAGGTTCGAATGCCTTTCTAAATCCTACATATTAGTTGTCTCCTACAATGTATAAGTTGTCACAAAATGGTAAACATTGCACACATAAGTTACCACAAGAATTTACTCCCTAGCTTGTGCAACAGCTTCTATTTTTAGGTTTGTTGCAATAATTTGCCCCTCAAGTTGTACTACTATAGTAATACATGGTAGTAACTCCTTTTCATATTTCCCCCTCCCACAGCTTGTGTATTCTATGTAATAACTTTAGTATATTTTTGAAGTTGCAACTTTAGTTTTACATAGTAGTAACTTCTTTTGATTTTTTGCCCCCGTGCTTGTGCATACCATGTAAAAACTTTAGTATATTTTTAGAGTAGTGAGTTTAGAATTATATAGTAGCAACTCATTTCATAAATTTCATAGCATATTTTTATACATAAATTGCTACTAAAATAAAATTCTTCGAAATATAGGCAGTGGGGTCTAATTTTGTTCGTCTCGTCAGGTAGAACACGCCGGTGCAAACGGAATTGCAAACAGATACAACATTAAAAAATTGTAACCGTTCAAAGAAAATGTTGTGTTTTTTTTTAATTTTGTGTTTGCTGACGTCATGCTACCTGTGCTGGTTGGCACATGAGCAGGCATCATGCGGGAAACTCGCGTGGTGTGTGGGGGGGGGGGGGGCTGGGGGGTCGAAATGTCAACAGGAAATTCCTCGTCGGGGGTTACTGCCCCATCCCCGTCCCCGTCCCCGTGAAGGCTCATGGGGAGCACTTCTTCCCTATCCCCGTCCTCGCTCGGGGATTTAATCCCCGCGGGGATCCCCATCCCTGCATCAACACGTGAAGCATGCTCGCCGCCGCCGAAGATATTTCCGCCGACAGCTCGCCGCTGACTCACCTCCGCTGGCCGTCGCGAGGATGTGAAATGGCACACCGAAGATATTTCCCACGCCACCACCTTGCCGTGCGACGATAAAAGGCTAGTCGTGGATGCCATCGACGAGCACCTCACCAAGCACGCCATAGTTCCGCCTCGGCTGCCGCGCTCGCCTCTACCGCCGAAGCCGCCCTCGCCGTCGAGCTCGCCTCTGCTCGTGGGAGCCGAGGCTGCTGTCGTCGCCCATGCTCTTCCTCTGCTCCGCCCTCTTCTCTCCTCCTCTACTCCACCTCCATAGAGCGCCGTTGAGCTCCCTCTCTCTCTGCTTCCCCTTCTTCCTCTTGAAAGGTCCTTATTTGGTTTTGGTAATTGAGTGACAACCTAGGTGGACTAATTGTGTTTATGTGAGATACACAGGTAATTAGTCCACAGGTACATGTGTGTGAGCAACATATGCCATGAAGGTAAAGATGGCGCGGAGATGTTGCAAAGCTCACACATGTGACGATGAAGGAGCTTATTGCACATGAGACATGATATTGAGTCATGTGATCAAGGTGGAGAAGATCAAGACAAGACTTGGCTTGATGGACCGGTTGCAAGCGTGAAGGGCAAGTCGGAGGCTTTGGAGTGATGGACCGCGTGGTGGTGAAGCTTGAGCAAGACTTGGCACCGATGGACGATGGCAACGGTGAAGAGCAAGTGAAGTCAAGATCGATGAACCAATATGATCACGTGATGATATGAAGTGGATCATATCATTGTTGATCGTGTTGGTGCATGTGTTGCATCGACGTTGGAGAAGATGGAAGGAATGCGCAAGGCAAAGGTATAACCTAGGGCATTTTATTTCACCGGTCATAGGTGTGTAGAGAAATTTATGACCGGGTTTATGATAGATGGCCGTACTATCAAGAGGAGCAAACTTGTTTGCATATCGGTCATCTAGTGCCACTCGAGTGATCTAACTTTGCATCGTCGCTAGGATCGAATGGCTAGGCAAGTTGAGTGGCTAACATCCTTTGGGAAATGATTGTGAAAATGCTAACACACATACACATGATGGTGTACACTTGGTGGTGTTGGCACATTTTCAAAGGAGATGAAGTTGAAGTTGATGTGGATCAACTCGGCGATGAAATGGAGGCGAGAAGAGTTAGGAACTCTACCAGCGGAGTGTCCGCCCGTAGAGTGCGGATAGTTCGACGGTGCCACCGACGCCCTAGTTAGAAAAGACAGGGTCTCACAGAGTGGACCGGACTCTGGTCACGCAGTGACCGGACGCTGAGTTCCAGCGTCCGGTCAGTGGTGGCAGAGAGCATGCAGCGTCGATCTATCGACCGGACGCTGGCTCTGGAAGTGACCGGACGCTGGCTGTGAGCGTCCAGTCAAGATGACAAATGGTGATGCAGGCAGAGCAGAGAAGCTACGAGTGATCGGACACAGGTGCTGCGTCCGATCGTGTTCGACCGGACGTGTCCGGTCATGTCTGGTACCTTACTGGAAATGACCGGACGCTGGAGGCTCAGAGTCTGGTCAGTTGTTGCTGGAGCATCCGGTCGATAGATGACCATTGAGATCCAGTGAACAACGTTTGAAGCAGGGGACACGTGGCGAGTATCGCGTGACCGGACGCTAAGGTCCAGCGTCCGGTCGATCGGACCAAAGCGTCCGGTCGTCCCGACATTTGCCCAATGAAGGGGTAACGGCTCTATTTGTTCGTGGGGTTATAAATAGAAGCCATGATCGGCCTTGGGCCGGTAGCTGAGCACACTAGAGCCTTGGTGGCTTATGTGGTGGTGCTTGGGAGCCCTACATCTCACATATACTTGATAGTGATCATCCGATTGTGTGAGAGAGCGAATCTAGTGCGATTGCATCGTGAGATTGCATCGAGTGGCACTAGGTGATCGAGTTGCAAACCGGTGGTGCTTGTTACTCTTGGAGGTTGCCACCTCCTAGACGGCTTGGTGGTGGTCTCCGTCGAAGCCCGCAAGAAGTTTGTGCGGTGCTCCGGAGAAGAGCTTTGTGATTGGCATTGTGCTCGCCCCGCGGGAGCCACGAAGAGCAACTCTAGTAAAGCGTGTCATTGAGCTACCTCACTTTCGGGGTAGGTTCTTGCGGCACCTGACGTGCAGGCTTGGCGGGTGATGCCAATTAGCCGCCGAACCACCAAGTGAGCGGTCGACACAACGGGGACTAGCGTGTTGGCAAACATGTGAACCTCGGGAGAAAAATCACCGTGTCAACCTTGTTCTTCCCGTTGGTTTGCATCCTCGTTACACAAGCTTGTAATTACTTTTGCATACATTGTGCTTGTGTAGTTGCTCTTGTAATTAGTTAGCTTGTGTAGCTTGCTAGTTACCTTCTTGCTTGTGTAGCATAGAAGTAGCTCCCTTGCGTGGCTAATTTGGTTTGTGTAACCTTGTTAGTCACATTGCTTAGTTTGTGTAGCTAAGTATTTGCGCTCTCTAATTTGGCATTGGTTGCCTTGTTATTGAGCATTGCTAGTGAGCTTAGTTGGCTTTATGCTTTTGCTTACTAGCATGTGTAGGAGCTCCCTTGTTGCTTAAAGTACTAGTGGCATAGGTTTGTGTGACCTTGCTTCTAGAATTGGTTAGGTAAGCTCTAGCTAGCGCGGCATCTTTGTTACTTAATTAGTATCTTTGGAAGGTGCTAGAGAACATAGATAGAGGGGTGTAGCCTTGGCTAGACCGACAGTTTTTATTCCGCACTTGTTTCAGTTAGCCAACGTGATTAATTTTAGAAAGGACTATTCACCCCCCTCTAGTCCGCCATCTCGACCTTACAAGTGGTATCAGAGCCCGGTCTCTCATTTGTGGTCTTCACCGACCCGAGAGGATGGCGTCAAATGGGCTAGATATTTGTGAGACACATTTTTTATGGCACAAACTTTGCACTTTAGAAAAAT